GTCATTAAACTGTTATTTATTTTTTATGAACCTAGAAAGATAGTGTAGTCAGAAAAAAAAAGAAAAATATGACTGTATTATTTTCTTAGATACAATTCAGGCAAATATATGAAATCAAGATTTTGAACTAAAAGCCTAATTACTCAAACTCTTCGCATTAATGAATAAAAGGAAGTAAAATTGGATCTATTTTCTTTAGATTTTTTTCTTCTGATATTTAGCTATTATAGTGAGTGTTTTGGACTTCTTAATCTGTGCCTTTATGACTTTTATCTAGTGAGCAATCTGAAATGGGTATTATATATTTCAAAGGGAAAGCAGCGTATATTTGTAACAAAGTAAAATTGTATAGATTATGTGCACATTGACTCAATTAAAAGAGGTATGGGCTGAGATGAGTTTTAGTGCCCCTTTTCTAGAACAACATAATACTGCCAATGTAAAATATTAAAATCCCATATATCTTGCAAAGTTTACTGAAGCACAACAGGGTTTTGAGAGGGTTATTTCTAGCTGCAAGGATGTTGACAGGTATTTTCAATGCTTCTTTAGTAAAAAGTGGTTATGATAGCTTTGTATTTGCTTTGTTTGAGTAGGTGAATCCCTTCCATTGAGCTCAGGTAACCAGATCACGGTTAGATTTACTTCAGTTGGACCAATAACAGCTAAAGGATTTCATTTTGTTTATCAAGGTGAGACAACCTGGAAAAATGTGTACATTTATTCTTTTCATCACAAATTGTAAATCATCAGAGAGGAACAGACTGAGAATGTAGAGGAAAGTAATAGCTTGTTAACAATATAACATTTCACTATTTCTGCATGTTTTGAAATATCTTTAGGACCATTCTTTTATCTCTGTTTTAAAGCTTAAGTCAAATATTTCAGAAGCATAAGAGAGGTTCCAAATTTAAGAAGACAGTTATACAAAGCAGCTGTTTCTGTTTGCTAATCTGACAGACTAATGTTAGATCCATCTGCCTGCTCAAACAGGTTTATCTCTCAATATAAATATGAATAACTGTAAGTGTTATTACTTGTGGGTGAATCAGTGATCTTGCTGTTATTAAGATACTTCTCTTGGTTTACATTATTTGCCTTTTTATGGGTCAAACGCAGAAATGGTTATACATCAACTGCAACTGCAATTCATTCTTTCATTAAATTTAAATCCTGATCTGACAGTCAGAATACACATTTAGAAATCCACAGGAATAAATGTAAATATCTATATGACACAGAAATGTTATTTTGAAACCATGTATTAGCTGAATATTTCATAGTAGTGTTTCTTTTCAGTGCCATTTTAGAAAGGTTTCAGTGTGGATTTTATGCATTGTTTTTAATCTTGGCAAGGATATCAGTGCTATGCTTTTCTAAATAGTAACTCAGACATCAAAAGTATGCAATCCGTATTGTGAAGATTCATTTGGGGATTATGAAAATGTTCTTAACTGGCAAATAACTGAATGTTACTTCCAATCATTTTGAATATTTGGGGTTCAAAATCTGTATTGCTCCACCAAATCTAAAATCAAGAATCCACAATTGTTTGTATGTTTGCAGCTGTTCCAAGAACAAGTGCAACACAGTGTAGCTCTGTGCCTGAACCAAGATTTGGAAAAAGGATTGGAAATGAATTTGCAGTTGGGTCATTGGTTCTTTTTGAGTGCAATCCAGGCTATGTCCTCCATGGGTCAACAGCAATTAGATGTGATACAGTACCAAATGCATTGGCACAGTGGAATGATTCACTCCCTACATGTGTTGGTAAGTTCTTAACACTTTTTAATAGAACTAATTACTGCCTAAAGTGTAGACCATTTTCTCTAGCTGAATGTGTTCCTTCTTTGTCATCTGTATAGTATTTTATTCTTGCTTACTTTTATTCACTTTCTTTTTCATTCAAGGTTTGTTCCCCTTTCTATTCTAACCTTGCTGTGACATTTCACGTGTTTCATGAACATACTCTGCTGCTATAAATTATATGTTAGCTTCTTAACATCATTGACAGTCCCTGGCTGTCCCTTAATCAAGACTTAGAAATATCAGTTTGTGCCCTGACTGCTTGCAAGACTAAGATGCTCTCACCTTGCAGATCTCAAACAAGATATTGCAAGCTATTAGAAAGAACACTACTATATTAAAGATTTAGAAATAGTTACACTAATATTTCATTGCTTGTCAGAAAAAAAAAGCAGTAATTTTTCAGATCAGAAAATATACTGTCTGGTTCTAGTCATACAAGATTAAATTCTCAAAATTAAATTCTTAAATTAATGTGCATCCATTGACATTTATAAAGCTGATTTGCACCAATTGGAAATCTGGTGATTGTGCTGAAAAGCCCCACAGTAAGGAGATAAAATTCTAATGGTCCATTTTTCCATAGGTTTATATCAAGGGCAAATATGGCACACTTACATATTAAGTTTTATTAGAGTTTGGCTTGGGTTTTTATATGGAAAAAAATCAGTTGTTTACAAATGAATTAAAATTGGTTATCATTTGCACAGATATTTTTGCAATGCCATCAAACTTTTCCACCTGTAACATCTGTTGCAGTACTGACTGCATTATACATTAATTTTGTGCAAATTGAATACACCGAAAACTATTCATTTTGGGGTTGAACACATCTGAAGAACTCCATTCCAGCCAAAACAGTAAATATATGTATGAGTTAAAGTTACTTTACTTTTCTTGACAGAGAACAGATTTTTTATAAAAATTATCCTAACCCATTGCAAAAACCACATTATGATATTGACCTCAGCATTAAGTACATAAGCAGAGTTTTAGATGAGTGGAGGAAAGGAAAATAGAGAACATGTTTTCATTAGGTTGATTTGAATCTTCATTGCTAATCAGCTGATGGTGCATGGTAGAATCTGAGTCGTTTTCAGTAAAATAAAAGATTTTCTCCAAAATACTAAAAACTTGATAGATATCAAGACTAAGTACCACTGGGATAATATTAATAAAATGTGATTAACCAGCTGTTGTACACAAATAATGTTTAATTAGACTGTTTCAGGCATAGGAATAGAACTACAATTTATATATCAATAAGAAGCTGAAATATATACCTATATTTCATTTATTCTCAGTGATTACAGTTTAATCAGTAGAGTTGTACGATTTACCCCTTTGAAATGTATTCCCTTTCTTTTTAAGATATAACAACTCAACAAATTGAAATAATTATTTTGGCCATTGATCACAATATATTATTGATAATTTAATACATTATTTAGTCTGTGAAAGAGAAAGCTATTTGTCTCTAGGCAAGTCGAACTGAGAAGGGGTTACAGGCCACCTTATGTGTGAAAATCACTGTGCCAATAAAAGTGATAAAATATGTATGAGGTAAAAATTGCATTGTACTAAATCAGTTTAATAATTGAAGGGGTAGGCATGACCATACTAAATTGCCTTAACTCTAGTGAATGCTTGAATATTTCCTTAGAGATAGTAGACATCAATCATTCTGTCCATCCTTTTATGAGTAATTATTTAAACACTTTAAGTGACACTGACCTTTAGTTTGTCTATGTAGTTCCCAACAGATTCTATCAATTATATGCCACACAAAATGTATCTACAGTATTCATTATTAAGATAAGTTGCATTGTCCTACCTATTTTCTAAATCCTCATATTTGTATCTAATGAAATCTGTTCAGAACTTAGTAGTGTTGCATAGAAGTGATACATTAGCTTCTAATGGTTTTGATAAACCATCTCATCAATCTTTTCCTTCAACTTCTTAAATACCAACAGAATATCTGTGTCTAGATTAAGCTGTAATATTCTTTGTCCCTGTTAGAGCATCTAATGATCTAGACAAGATACATTCAAGTTGAACATTCAGAAGAGAAACTTGATGGTACTGAATGCCTCTGTCCTATTTCATGCATAACACTTTTGTCAATCCATGGGCATGGATATGATGAGTGCAGTCTTGCAAGCATTTAGCAATTTCTTTATTAATGTGATAGATCTATAGTCTGTAATGGGATAACTCACACAAGCAAAGAGAACATTCAAGGAGTTGAGACTGGTGCTGTTAATTATTCAGACAACAACAAAGTAGCAATATGAAGAAAGAATGTATCTTTCTTACAACACGTTTTTATCTATTATACTAATACAATACATAACTGTTCAAACTTCATTCTTAACCCCTAAAAATAATGCATTATTTTTGTAAGATTACTAGGAGACAATGGAATGGATTTCACTTTGTTAAATGTCAAATAAATAAGGGGAATATGAGCATGATTCTGTCAGGCAGAAAACTGACATAATTCTAATTTTCCTTTATTCTTTTTTGGTCATTTAAAAGAAGGTTTTTGAGATACAATATTTTATTTTCCTGAAGTGAATATAAATTTTTTAATGTAGCACAAATTTACAAAAGTTTTCAGCCATTGTATGCTGAACATTGCGTAAGCTTTTATAATAACTTTTCTCGCTTCTGAAGCTTCGTACTTCTTTTCTTGCCTTGTGCATTTCCTTTCAGTGCCCTGTGGTGGAATTTTAACAAAGCGCAAAGGGACCATTTTGTCTCCTGGTTACCCTGAGCCTTATGACAACAATCTGAATTGTGTGTGGAAGATCACAGTACCAGAGGGAGCTGGGATTCAAGTAAGTATACTTGCTATTTGCTTGTTATCATCACGTTTAAAACTGTTTTTCCTGATGCAAGAGCATGAAAAGATCATTTATTTATACATTTTTCTATCTCATTAATGATTCCCTCAATGGAATTTATTGCACATCTTTGTATTCACACAGTTGTTAAAAGTTAAAAGATTTACAAAAAACTTAAAAGATACACTTGTAGCTTTTTACTTAGAAAAAACTCACCAATAATTTAAAATGTGTTATTTCAATAGGTCAGTGACTTCTTGTAAGCCAGAGGAAATAGAGAGGCTTTCCTGTGATTTTTTTCCTCTCCCAAAATGGATAAATCTCCTCTAACAGCGTGAAATTAAGTGGGTTGCTTCCATGGACAACTTATATATGTTTTCCTAGAAACTCTGTTATTTACTCTATAGTTATGGAAGTTCATTGTGACATAAAGACGCTTCAGTTTGTTTCAACATGAGATGGGAATTGGTCCTTTAAAATATTGTCAGAATTCTCGTTTCTGAAATTTAAGATTAAGAAGTTCATGGAACATATAGGAGAAAAGTTTCCATGTCATGTATACCTCACTCTTTAGAGTTCACTAAAGAAACTGACAGAAATCTGGTTATTGGAAAGGCAGTTGACTTTAATAAATTAGGAATTTTAAGCATCATCTGATCAAACTCCTAGCAAAACGCATATCAAGAAACCATGGTAGCAAGTTTTCTATGTCTACCCTTGGTTCAAAATATAACTACTGTAGAAAATTAATAAATAAAGAGCTCAGTTTCTGTAGGTAAAGATTTAATAATGAAAATCAGGAAAACCATTGTGGACAGTTTATTAAAGCTTTTTAATAAATTACATCACAGAGCTTTTAAGGTATTCTACTGTGTCAAGAAAAGTTTTAAAAATAGTATAAGTTTATACTTTGCTACTTTATAAGCATTCAGAAAAATCTATTTTTGTTTTAAATAACTAAAAATACTTAAGAAAAGTTTAAAAACTTTACAGAACACAGAAATCATCACAAATACAACCGAAGTCCATACATGATAACATTTATGAATACAATTTTCAAAACCACCAATGTCCATTAACAATAATATTTAATAACCTAAATCAGTTTTGAGATTGATTTTGAGGAACACTACTTGATTTAAACTATTTACTAAGTTAGGATACTTTTTTCTGTGTATTTCTTATACAACCAATAATGTAAGTTAAACACTAGGAGGAGAGTTCAGAGGATTTAAATTAGGCATTAACTGGCGTCCTGACTTAGGCAGCCACTGTTACTTTTTAGAAGTGTTTATCTCTTATCACAGACTGCATTAGGTGATTAAATTACTTACTTTGATTTCAAGTTAGGTGTCTAACCTGCATGATATTCTTTTGCTCTAGAGTCATAATAAAAAGATATATTTACTGTTTGCTTTTTTTCTACTTCTCCTGAGTTTTTTTGCTGAGCTAGTGAATACCATCCTTCCTTTCTATTATCTGTTACTGAATAAATTACTCATTTATACTTGTATAAACGTAATGACAACAGGGCAGTTTCATGGGCATACCTGTAGATTGTAATTAGGTCTGTAGAACGTTTAATATTGTTACTGAAGCAGGACAGTAATTAATTGTGATATTCATGCTTGATCATTTGAATCCTGTCTGATTTTCAGGGCTAGGTCTGAGGAAGATAAAGTCCCTGATATAGTAAGCTGAATACAGCTGATATAGGGTCAGTAGGACAGAGTATACATCAGAAATCATCATACTGTTTTTAGTGAATTATTTTTCACAACTGAGCTTAGCTTTATATCTACTAATGACATAAAAAATGGCATTAGAGTTGTTTTGGTTTTGTTTTTTTCACTTCATAGGAAAGAAAAAAACTGAATATACTTATATAAAAACGTAATTATTACTGTGAAAATCAGCTACTTGAGGCAACATTTGTAAACTCAGGTGACTGATTTTGTCCAACCTGAGAATGCATGCAAATGTGGATATTCAAGATACTGTGATAGCTATTGCTTTTGTGTTTATGCAAATGCATAAATTATCTGGACATTTTTCCTGACAAATATTTATTCCCTTGAAGTAACAAAGGCACTTTCCTAGCTTTAAAGGAGGTGAAAATAATATATCACCAATGCATATTCATCTGTGAAATGTGTAGATGGAATTTTAAACTATTTAGGTATAACAGTTATCGATGTGTATGATTACGTTGTTGAATTTGTTGAAACAGTGTGATGAGATGTAAATACTGAGCTGTCTCATATCAAATCAAAAAGCAGACATTTAAAAGTAGGTTTAGGTAAATATGAAAAGTGTGTGCTAAAAGCCTGCCTTCAGGCACCTAACTTAAATACCTTATATCAGGAAATTAATCTACCATGGTTCCTTGTAAAGTTAGGGCAGAAAGGCACCCGGGGTAGATAATTCAAAACATCTAATAAAGACTCTGGCTCTGAATCACTGCCTGAAGGTATGTCTGTCTATTTATTGTCTACATGGGGAGGTTAGGGCAACTAGCATCAGTTGCACTAAAATAGATGTTTTAAATTAGGTGTTTTATGATGAATATAAAAACTGTAGTCAGCAGCAATCTAGCCCTGAAAACACATAAAAAGCATTAGATAATTTAAAATTTGTTCTGAAGTTTTCCTAGGTGCCTGTACTTCCAATTCTGTATGTCTTCAGAAATATTCCTGACAGAGACAACACCCATAAGTTTCAACTAAATCCGTTGTGAACCAAAAAATAAACAGACAAGTCTTAAAGTTTTCTGAGAGACCACATCCAGTAGGCCTCCTGCAAGTATCTAAAACATGCTAACAGTCAGGGCCTCTGCATTGCTTCACTTTAAAAAAAAAAAAAAAAAAAAAAAAAATAAACTTTTTTGTTAATCCTTTGGCTTTATTATCTGACCATTTCCTACGAAAAGTATAGTGTTTAAGACCTCCATTCAAGAAATAGGTAGCCAAACTGAACATTCCTTTTACCTAGAAGAAGGTCCAAGTGATATATTTCACCTAGAAAAATAACTTCATTACCTAGTTGTACTGGAACCAATGCCTATTTCTTCTGTTGAAGTTATTCCATTTTGAAGAAAATAAAAGGAAGAATAAGTGAGGCAGAAGAACAGTAAAAGAAGCATAATTCTCTAACTTAGTGTCTAAGCTACCCCTTTTTGAGGGTGGTTGGGGTTTCATCCATGCTTCTGTCACTCTTTAAATGCTTTTCATTAAACAGTTATTTCACTAAAGAAAAACCACCAGACCCTCTCCCCTCCAAAACAGGACCAGAAACCTGGCATTTCTCTACTTTGTGAGGAGAGTGAGGAGTGTTTTCACTATATGTGAACAGGTATATCCTCCCTCTTGCAGTCTATCTGCTTACTGCTTTGCATCTCCTTATGAGTGGAAGGATGTTGTCACCTCTGGAAGGAATGAAGTTAATGTTCTGCCTTTTGCTTGTAGCATGCTAGTGACTGCTTCTCCTCAGGAGATGAGTCAATGATGAAGGTAACCAAACACAGGAGGCTGCTCTTACCTGGAGGCAGAATTGAACATGGCAAGATAGATGAAGCAGCATGCATCACTGTGGGACTGTTTTTAGCCCTGGATAAACTAGTGAGAATCACAAAGAAACTGCAGTAATTGACAATACCATGTTTTGTCTTCCTCTCAATGTCCTTCCAACAAGGGAATCATATTCTATACCTAGATGATTTTCACGGCTGTGTGACTCGTCAGAAGTAATATGTGGTTGTCACTAAGGGTCATAGGATTTAGAAGTCTGAATTGGCAATTAAATACAAAAAATGTTGCAATGCCATTTTACTCACTTAATGATGATTTTCCATTCTCTTTGACAATGCGAACAAAACACAACTTTCCATGACTGAAAGCAACAGAGGCTATAATTTACAGTTGTTTTTGTGTTTGAATACAGAGGGGAAGAAGTTTAGGTTCTTTACCTCACATTTTTCTTCATAGGTGCAAGTGGTGAGTTTTGCCACAGAACACAACTGGGATTCCTTAGACTTTTATGATGGTGCTGACAACAATGCTCCAAGGCTTGGAAGTTATTCAGGTGACTGAGAAGATTTTACAATAAGTGTTTCACAGATTCAACTCTTTACTGTAAACACACAGCTCTTTCTAGGTCTTTTGTATATGTGTGTGTGCGTGTGTGTATGTTTTTTTCTCCTATAATCAACAACAGGTAGTATTCTTTATGTTTTAATCAGTCATCTCTTAGTGGACTTTTTCATAAAGCTGAATATTTGAAAATGTTAGAAATTAAATAACATTCAGAGGTTCCCAAACTAGTTATCTATTAATCTCATTTTTTACCCACTCTTATAGCAGGGTCCAGAAACACAGGCCTCTAAATGACATGCCTCTTGAAATTGTACATGACTAAAGGATGCATTCTTTATCCTTATTTTAGATAAACGAGACAGTTCTGTTTGCCTAACTTTTTGTTTTGTTTTGTTTTCCTTTATTCTACTTCATTCATGTGTATGGAATGAGATCACAGACAATAAGATTGTTGTCTTGTCTTGTGCTGAAACACAAATAAATAATCAATCACATTTCTAAGAACAGCCCTACAAAATATTTTCAGAGCTGCTTGATATATTTGGCTGTTACATTTAAAATTATTCCAGTTACGGGATTTGCTCTTGCTTTTATGAAAACCCTAGTGAATAGTTCTCCTTTTGTGAACAAAAGCATGTAAAATTTGGGCATACGCTTTGCTGGGTAAAAAACTGGCTGCCTGGTTGGGCCCAAAGAGTTGTGGTGAATGGAGTTAAATCCAGTTGGTGGCCAGTCACAAGTGGTGTTCCCCAGGGCTCAGTTTTGGGGCCAGTTCTGCTTAATATCTTTGTCAATGATCTGGACAAGAGGATCGAGTACACCCTCAGCAAGTTTGCAGACGACACCAAGTTGGGCGGGAGTGTTGATCCGCTTGAGGGTAGGAAGGCTCTGCAGAGGGACCTGGACAGGCTGGATCGATGGGCCCAGGCCAACTGTATGAGGTTCAACAAGGCTAAGTGCTGGGTCACAACAACCCCATGCAGCGCTACAGGCTTGGGGAAGAGTGGCTGGAAAGCTGCCCAGCAGAGAAGGACCTGGGGGTGCTGGTTGACAGCCGGCTGAACATGAGCCGGCAGTGTGCCCAGGCGGCCAAGAAGGCCAAT